AACAGGGGGCAACCCTGGCACAAACAGGAAAGCATGGTGGCTAGGTACCTGGAGTTGGTGATTAAAGCCGTAAACACAGATGAGCTCTCTGAGAGAGAAGGAAAAGTAAGGCAAGCTTCAGGCACTAGAGAAAGAATACTGAAGGGAGGTCAGGAGTAAGGAGACAGGAACAGACCACACACATCAACTTCTTCAAAGTGGCTGATCCTTCAATTACTGGTACTTCTGTAAATTTCCAGAGGGACCAAGAGGAGAGGGGCCACCATGAAACAAACAGCAAATTGGGATGAGTGTCCTGCGGGTCGTGCATTGCCTTCTGCTCTCTTCTCCAGTGTCTTTCTCCATGTGGATATGGATCTTTCCTCCCCAGGCAAGATGCCAGCTCCTCGAAGGCCTCTGGTCTTTCAAGTTTCTAGGGCCTTCGCAGAACCAACCTTTGTTCACAGAAAGTGGTCAGAAGACACTACTTGCTTGGTTGCTTGAGGAGAGGTGTGGAGCGAGAGAGGAGACTTACCTGGTGAGATCTAGGCTGAAGACAGGCTGAGTTTGTCCAGGAAGCTTTTAAGAGTTCTGAAGTAGTAACTAATTTAAAAATCAGGAGATTTCAGGGAGTTCCCTGGTGGTCTAGCGGTTAGGATTTGGTGCTTTCACTGCAGTGGCTCGGGTTCGATCCCTGGTGGGGGAACTGAGATCCCGCAAGCTGTGCTGCCTGGCCAAAAAAACCCCCCAAATCAGGAGATTTCAGATACAATTCTAGGTCTTTGTTTTCCCCTGGGAAACTGCCCGTCAGGTGAACCTGACAAATACCATCCAGCTTCCCTTTTCTGATGGCCCAAAGCTCCTCCTTCCCTCCCCCCACTCCCATTCCAGTTTTCCTGTGCTCCTTAGTAGAGGTGTATCTACTCTGTAAGTTCTCTGAATGCCAAAAAATGGATTGGGGTCTGCAACAGGCATTTACACAGAAGGCCTAAAAAACCCTTTGGAGGCTGGGGGTCGAGGAATCCTCAGAGAAATCAGGACGTCTGCTAAGGCACAAATGTGGTAGTCATTTTATAAAGACAGTGTTCTGGAGGCCTAGAAGCAGGAGCCATTAGCTCTGCTTGGGGGTATCTATGAAGGTTTTCCAAGAAGAGGTACTATCCCAGCTGAGTTTTGATGGATGATTATGAAGGACTTGTCCAAAGAATGGAGGGGAATGAAAAGGTATTCCCAGCAGGGGCAGGGTGAGGATGCAGGCATGATGGAGAATGATACAGGGTTGGGGAGGCCTAGTGAGAAACCTGGTAATGTAGACTATGGCCCAATAGCAAAGATCCAGAGCTGCTGAATTACTTGGCAATTGACCTGGAAAGCAATAGGGTACCACGGGGGAGAGGGGCAGGGTTAAGCAGGGGAGGGACATTGTTCAAGTGATGTCAAAGGCTCACTCTGATGGCTGCGGGAGGGTTGGGTACGGTAGGGGGAAAGACTAGAGGCCCACAAGACCTATCCTAAGGGAGGAAGCCACATCCTACTCTTTGCCTATTTGGCAACCAAAGCAGCTTCCCAGCAGGCCAAGAGAAGGGCCCCCAAAGCTGAGAGAATGGACCTAACTCAACTAATTCTTAAGGACAGCAGCAGTGAGTACATACTTTGTTCCCTCTGCCCGCCAGCGAACATACCCCAGTGCTGCATCAGGAGAAATGCCTCACCTGGGAAGACCAACTGTACCACAAATACAGTAAACCGTGCGTGAACTCCTTTTGGCTTGTATGTCTCCCCTCTCTCTAGGGCTGGGCAGCATCTGGCACATAGTAGGTGCTCAATGAATATTTATTAATCTGAAATAGGGACACTCATATGGGATTCAGTCAAAGGCCGTACATTTTTTTCAGTCTTGGTTCAGCCACTCAAGAGCTCTGTGGCTGTGGACAAGCCACATAACTTCAGTGACACTCAGTTTGTTGATCTATTTATTATTATTATTATTTATTTTTGGCCATGCCACGTCATGTGGGATCCTAGTGCCCTGACCAGGGATCAAACCCGCACCCCCTGCATTGGAAGCACAGAGTCTTAACCACTGGACCACCAGGGAAGTCCCTGCTGATCTATTTTAAAAATCAGTATGGGAGTGTGCCTGGAAGCACTTTGCAAACTCTAAAGTACTATATGACCAAAAGTGGTGTATCCATAAAATGGAATACTATTCAGCCATAAAAAGGAAGTGCTGACACATGCCACCACATGGATAGGTCTTAAAAACATGATGCCAAGTGAAAGAAGCGAGACGCAAAAGGCCACATGTGACGTGATTCCTTTCATATGAAATGTCCAGAATTGGCAAAGCTATAGGGACAGAAAGCAGATTAGTGGTTGCCAGGGGTTGGGGAGAAAAGGGAATGGACTTATTGTGTTTTCTTTTGAGATGCTGCAAATATTCTGGAACTAGATAGCGGTGATGGTTGTACACCAGGGTGAATGTACTAAATGCCACCAAATTGTACACTTTTTTTTTTTTTGATCGCACTGGGCAGCTCGCGAGATCCTATTTCCCTGACCAGGGATCGAACCCAGACCCTGGGAGTGAAAGTGCGAGTGCTAACCACTGGACCACCAGGGAATTCCCTGTTAATGTATTTTATCACAGTTTTTAAAAAGCCCCCCAAAAGGGCTATAAGAAGGTTAATCATCCTGAGAAATTGTTGATTCTTGCACTCTACCTGCAGACCCCAATCCATTTTTTGGCATTCAGAGAACTTACAGAGTAGATACACCTCTACTAAGGAGCACAGGAAAACTGGAATGGGAGTGGGGGGAGGGAAGGAGGAGCTTTGGGCCATCAGAAAAGGGAAGCTGGATGGTATTTGTTTCGTAGATTGCCAGTTGTTCACCCTGTTTGTATTTACATGAAAGGAGGCTTTGAAGTGGGAGCCGCCTCTGAGCAGGGCTTGGGGTTCCTGGCTTGTGTGGTAAAGTTCAGACTTGTCCAGATCCGTTTCTAGCCAGAGGTTACTGTTTCTGGTGGAAAAGGCTTAAGTTTTGGTTAATAATACATGAACAGGAAGAGCCGAGTAAACTGGGGGACAAGGAATGAGTTCCCCCTGGACTTGGTATGAAAGGAAGCTTTCTCTGATTTGAGCTTCATAGTTTGGGAGTATCTTTTTCTCGCTTACAGTGGCTGGGTTTCATTTTATTATTAATGTTGGTTGCATCTCAGATCGTATTCTTTTTGGTAAAGAACATCTTTGAGTAAATGCATCAATCAATGAAAGTTAATAGTGCTCTGGGCTAAGCCCTAGCAATGCCTTGAGGACCTGACGGTTATCCGTTTAAGGAAAACCTGGACCACTTGAAAGTCCCTCGAAAATGGCAGGAAATTCATCTGTAGCTGAGTTTGCGTATTTAGAAAGACTCCTCTCCTAGCTGCAGAGTTAAATGTTATGCCAACCCACCGAAACTGGAAATTTAAGTTCCACTTATAGATGGGTCACAATCTGTCTGTTTCTGCTGATGATCTCCAAGAGTTAATGAAATGTAAAAAGAGTCTGCAGTGGGCTTTCAAAACAACAGCTATAGCTACTTTCTACAGCTCCTCACAGCCAACCACGTCAACGAGGTTCGCAAACAACAGTGGAGGAAGTCTCAACAAACCCCATGAGGGCGATAATTGTAATGATGGTTCATATCTTCACCCTATGTAGTTTTATGGGAATTGAGAGTCTAGCCAAATAATAAGTTCCAGCCCCTTTTATCTGCCCAGTTCCCAGCACACTCCCGAGGTGTCTGAGTCGCTTCTCACCCTAACCTCTTACTGCAGATTGTAACAATAACAACCGTAATGACAAGTTCTCAATCTGCACAGTTCCCTTCATTAAAGGAGCCCTAGAAGCTTCAAAAACACTCATTAATGGAATGTGACAAAGCTTAGAAGGTGGGAAGACTCACCCATTTCCAGTTTTCAGGTGGCTAAGTGGAGACAGGGTCCCAGAGAGGTGTGAGACTCTGTTAAGAGGCTTAAGGGCAGAGGGGAGGGGCTACCTTTATTCCATGTCACCTGGGAGTCAAGTCCCGGGTT